TCTGCCCCCAGTGGATAATGTTTATACATTCAGAGAAACAGCCTGATGTTAACTAGAGAACTAAAACCCTTTGAAACGAAAATACGATAATAGAAGTGAAAATAATGAGCTTCCCAGTGATACTATGGGGAGACCTTAGTTAACATTATGTTATGGTACCCTCAATAAGAAGTGATCACAGAGAATTTCAGAGCAGAGTGGGACAATGTAGCTTTTGCATACTCCAAACTTTTCACAATAAGAGTGGAAAACCTGAGAGGCTGACAGAAGTATTTTGTCCAAAATCATGATTAACCCAGATCTGCTAATATCCAATTTCATAAATAATTAATAAGCATACAAAATATAGGATAGGGCCTTCAGAAAATATGAAGGAAATAATAAATCTGAGAACCTGCCGTATTTATTTCTGTGTGTATTTATAATTATTTTTAGGTATATAAATTGGGATCTTCCTGAGGTCCAGGAACAGAATCTTGTTAGCTTCCTAACCATAGTGGGAAACACACTGCTTGGCATCTCATGGTGAATTACTCTGTTTAATGAATAACTCTGTTTAACGAATTCAACTGTTTAATGCATAAAAGAACACAAGTTATAGCTATTAGACATCGATATTACAACACTTCTATACAAATGCTCTTTAAAATAGGTTCCTGCTACTAAGACAGAGAATACACTTTACCCTACACCAGTATGCATGAGAGGCAGATCATTACGAGTTTATCTTCTCCAGAGATGGGGAGTCCATAGAAAACTGGACACACAGTTCAAAATATAAATTGTACAAGCCCGTAGGGCATGTCTTATCCCATATGTGAGGACAGTGCAAAAATAAAGCAAAATACAAATTGGGTAGTAATTAGATGTTCCCAGAGGAAAAGTTTCCTCCTATCATCCACAATCATGTAATTCAAGAACTTCCCTACACAGACTGCCCCACAAATATCCCTTATATCATCTCTCTAACCCAAACCATCATCCATAGCATCAAACCAATAAAAAACATCTTTGACTTCCCCAATCCCACAGCTCCACTTCCAGTGTATGTTAGTCCTCTGACTCCTTAAGGCACCCTTCTCCCTGATCTCCAGCAAACAGATCCCACTTTATTCCATCTCCACACATATTCTTTTTGCTGGAGTCTCCCATTTCCCCTAGCTCCTGTCTCAGCAGATTACAGCACTCAGTCTGCCAAAGACTAGCAGGGCCCACCCTCCTGGGAATCTTTTTCTACCCTGTGTTCTGGGATCTCTCTATATAGTGCTCATGCCTGCCAGCCCTCCTCAAAAGGAAGTATGTTCCCTCTGAAGGCTCCAACACATTTTCTCAGAGAAATGTTAGTGGTTTTGATTTTGGTGGAGTTTAGGTGCTATTTGAACAAAATTTTATCCAGGGTATCCTTAAAGATAGGCTCTACTTAGAACTGATTCCATGAGGAGGGATATATTTTGATTTTCAAATGATAGGTTCACCAACAAAGTTCTAAAACACATCCCACTTTCAGATGATAAATCAAGTGAACACATAAACATTTAGAATTAACAATAGCATTGTGTTTAACAGACCTGAATTGTGAAACATGCCTGGGACACTCACATTTTGCAAAGGGACAAACATGTAAACTTACCTAACTAGCTAGACAAGGAAAACTTGTAATTTTACAAATAATTAGTTAAATTAAGTGGGGCCTTTTTAAAAGATATCCTCCAAGCAGATGTAAGTTTTAGAAGAGATCTTCCTTACTGGAATCACAGTTTCACCACAAAATTCTGCAGAGGCAAATGTACAACAATGTTATACCTTGGAAACTCCGTATGGTTTAATGTAGCTGAATGGGACGCTAGTACTTCAGTTGCTACAAGTTAAGATTGGTCAAGAAAACACTCAATGAAAGAACCTCCACTGTAAATTGTGAGGGGATGTGGTAGCAGGAAGGCATATAATAGAAATAATAAAATTAATTAATCCACCCCAAAGTTAGTTATAAAGTAATAGACTCAAGAGCATAATCACAAAAGACATCACTGAGTCAGCACCAGAGGTGTGGTTTGTCTCCATCTACGCAATCCCTTTCAGCAATTGTTCAATTGGTGATGCTTCCCACAATAAATTCTGAGCATCTGCGGTCTGGGGCCTGCCAGCTTTAAAAGAGGTTCCACCCATTCCCTCAGGCAGGCTCTGCAGGGTGCAGCCAACACCCTTAATGGATGTATACACGCGTGTGCCCTAACCCCAAAAGCTAGGGAGTGGAAATGGTTGGCAACCTCCAAGTTTGGGGACTTCTACCATTCTGGGAACTACAGGAAGGCAAGAAAACACCTCCCTACCCTTGTTTCATCCTGTTTCACATCATTCTCCTTAGTCATATTGAAAAACCAAAATATCAGGCCCTCTCTTCTAAGTTTCTTTCATCACCTGTCCCCTTTCCCACTGCTTGTCAGCACTGATTCAGCATCAGTCATAGATTTCCTTGGGGCCCTTGTGCTTGTTGGGATGAGAAAGGGAAAGAAGGGAGGTGCCTGCCAGTAAGGAGGCAAGATATTTAGCATGGAGACTTTGGAAATGAGATGTTGGGCATTGTAATCTAACTCTGACTGGTTCCCAGGAGCATGTCTTTTACTTCATGTTCTGGTCACTTGAGTTTTCATCCCCATTTCTGGGTCACAGACCTGAAAACCTACAACCTAATCATACCAAGAATAGTCAACATGCTGTCCAGTGCTCCACAACTCCCAGTATCACTCCTATAAAGCACTATTGTCTCTTCACATACCCATGATTCCAAGCAATAAACACAGGCACATTCTCTGCCTGCTTGTACACCACACACCATATACAGGCAACAACACACAGAAGAGGCTAAAGGCTCCATGAACCTCTCCAGGAGTAACCTTCTGTAGTCACACTCTCCCCTTAAGGTCACCACAACCTACAGCAGTGGTTCTTAGATATGGTGTGGTTTGTCTCCGTGTGCACAATCTGCTCAATTCCTTTCAGCAATTTTTCAGTGATGAACTGATAGCTCTCCAGAATCACCAGGACAGCTAGTGGAGACTCCAGGCCTTGACTTAACCAACTCCAGTTGGAAAAGCATAGATCTCTACCAAGCTGTGGATAGGAATGGGATCTTATGCAAATAAGAGATTTTGTGTAGAAAAACTTTGTTTTCCTTCTCAAGTTCTGCTCTGCACTGGAGATCTAAAGAACACCTAACACAGCTCTGCAGCTCAAGCGTCCCACTTTTTCCTGTACCCCTCAACCTTCCCACTTCCACCCTCTATTTTCTTGCACAAGGCTCTTCCCGCACCCTCTCTTCCCACTTCCTCTCCCCGGTCCTTCTTGCAGAAGAAAAAAAAGAGGAAACCAAGCCTGCGTCCACGGTGGGCGGCGCCTGTCCCCGGAGACCCAAACCTACCGCGCCCGAGACAACTTTCCAAACTTTCCAACTCACTCCCACCCGCACGGTAATGAAAGCAAAGTAGAAAGGACACGCTGCACCCTAAGGAATTTCCAATCCCGCGCGCGCTCCCCAGGGAGAGGCCTCTTTCTCTTCCCTTTGGATCGGTGGGCAGACCCGGGTCCCACGGTCACCCCCAGCCTCCCGTCCCCGAGGCCCGCGGGGGAGCCCGAGCCCCACTTACCGCCAGGAGCGCCCCGAGCGCGCGCAGCCGCGCCTGCCGCACCGCGCCCGCCGCCGCCACCGCCGAAGGTTAACCTCCCAGGAAGCGGCGAGGGCCCGGGAGGGGCCGGCAGGGGGAGTTACCTGAGAGCGTCAGGTCGGCGGAGGGAAGCTTATCCTGACCACGCCTTCTGGGGGATAGGTGCGGAGCTGAGACCGGGCGGCTGTGCGGACTAGTTGCAACAAGTCCAGAGTCACGTCACACCACAGCCCGCACAGCCAGAAAGCGCTTCGGAACCTGTCTGAACTCAAAAAACCCAATCCTCTACCCACAAGTGAAAAACAGTCTTTCTTTCCTGCTCGCCCGCGGGACTACGAGGCGCTTGCAAGTCCCGACACTTGGACTAAGGCAGGCAGAGAACAGAGAACGTTCACCTGGGAATAAGGTGAACGAACCTTGGAGCTGGGCTGTGGTGTTGCCTGCGGTCCAGCCTGAGTTTGGGAATGCCCTGGAGGAGACCTGCAGGTCCTAGGGTTAGAGCAAGGGACAGACTATCCTCAAGAGACTGAGGCAATTCAGCCCTCTACAGATAATCCCAGTTACCAATTCCCAATGCAATCCCTACAGAAGGACTTGAGGGTTCCCCGATTTGAAAAGAAAAGGAGGGAGAAAAGTGCAGGGGAAAGTGCTTGTACCCTCACTTTCTTATATATGAGATGAACTTCAAATATCAAAAATTTGGTACCAACTTTCAACTTTGCTGGGAGGACTTGGGAGGAAAGTGGCACCGTTTAAAATAAGGAAGCTTGAGTGGAAATCAGCTCACTTCAGATGGACTATTGTGGAGCAATGTTATGGAAGTAGAGACATTACAATTTTTTTTAAAAAAAAATACAGAATAAATAATTATTTCCTTGCCCACCTCTCAATTTCATGTTTTAATAATTTGTATAATCAGTCTTCAAGATACATTCATTTGCAGCAAATATTAAAAAATGCAGCCTAGTACCAGAATGTATGAAATGTAGGGTCATAATAAGCATATCTTAAGCTTCTGGTAGGATTTTAAAATTATCATAAAATAAAATTGACCCTTAAAATTACTTTTAGAAATGTTTTTCTCAGAATAAAACACTTGGAGAAAATGCTAAACTGTAAGGATTTAAGTTAGGTACTAACAATGAGCTGATTTAGACAGTAGGATGAAATTTACAGTCTAGATACTGAAACATCTGAGCCAAGAATGCAATAAGGAAAAGTAAAAGCAAGTTTGAAAATAGTACACATCTAAGCTTTCAGGTTGCAGTATTGTGAGCTCTAGTTTCCTTTCTCCAAAAATAAATAAAAATGTAGAGAGAATTGTTTTTTTCTACATACCTAATTTTTTGTTTGTTTCTGGTAATTTCCATTTCTTGAATCTTGATATCTTGACAATTCTGGTCTTCATTGTTGATATGCCATCATTTGACTCAGTTTTTGTTCTGTGTAGCAACTCATTTACTGTTATGCTTCTTCAGCCTTCAAAAATAATTTTCAATGTTTCTTAAAGATGCAATATTTATAAACATTTGAGACTGCCTTTGTAAACATATGCTTATCCTACTTTAAAAATAACAGCAAAGATATTTAGACCAAACAAAAAAAATTAATGGACCACAGGAAGTCTAATTTTATTAAGATTTACATTTGTGGTTAAGTCAAGTGAAATCACAAAGAAGGATATCTATTAGAATAGCCATTATTAAAAACAAGTAAACAAGAGGAAAATATAAGTGAAAAGGGAGAAGGCTCTGTACCATTTGTTGTCCATTTTTGGTGAGATGGAGAGATATATAAAATTGACCTCAAGTCTTAAAGAACTCACAAAGTAGCTGAAAAATGCTGACCGAATTCATAAAACTCTTGGAACTTGAGTTTGTCCCTGATTGATGAAAATACTTATCTGGAGAATGAAATGGACGTGATTAGATACTGAAAGAGTAAATCTAGAGGCAGGAAAATAAAACTTGGAAATCCATCACTAGATTTGGACCTGATCATAGCATGTTTGTGGTGGAAGTTTAAATTTAAAAATAACATTTGGAATGATTTTCTCATCTACGGTATTATTTATAATCTAAGATTGTTGTTGAAAATTATGGATTAGAAATACCATATATAAAACATACCAACTCCAGATATGTGTTAGTATCATAGTATATGGCCACTACTATTATATTAAAAGTCAAGTTGTGAAGAAGAACCTTTATTTCAAGCTGAAGAATACGGACTGTGTCTACTGACACTGATACAACGACTTATCTAATATTTGGTGCCCTTTGGCATTAAATTCTAAGGAGTCACTAATAGTGTTTATGCCCAGCTATGATATGAATAGTATAGCAAGGGTGGGAATAGTACAATTGGACAGGAGGAGAACAAATTTGAGGGCCAATCAGAGTGAAAATTAATATTACTTGAGTCAGATTTGATGTGGAAGATAAATGAAAAGAAACGTATTTTAAAAGTAGGTTTTTAATCTGTCAAAAGTCAGCAGTAGAAATAAAGTGGCCATACTTCTGAAAAAAAATAAAATAAAGAAGAAGGAGGAAGAGGAGGAGAAGGAGGAACAGGCAAGATGGGGGACATGTAAAAGATTGTTTTCAAATGTTAGGAAGTTCTCAGTAACTATACTTACTCAGAAAAAGATGGTAGAAAGGAAATGTTAGAGAATAGAAAGAACAGTGTGAAACCAGCAAGGTCTAGATAGGATAAGAAGGGAGATGCAAAACTCTAGTATTCATATGAAAAAAAAACTATGCCTGATACATTCTTATGCTATGAGTTTCATTTTTAAAACAGATAGATTATACTGAATCAGGAATTAGGATTTTGCAGGAGATTCTCAAAAAGCAATTAACAGAATGAGTGAAAAGATTGTATTCATGGTTACAGTTCTCCCAAGACTGTCTATAAAGAAAACAAGGCAATCTTCATTGAACTTTTACCCTATTCTACACAATTTAGTATGAAGTCAAAGAACAAATTAGTAAAAGTATAAAAATTATATTCAGCAGAACTTTATTTACCTTGATGGTGGTTCAAAAGGGTAATTTATGTGCTTAAATTACATAACCTTTAATTGAGAAACAAAACCTTTATGGAATAGTATAGTATAGAGAAAATGACCAGCTGTTTCTCGCCCCACATTCTTACCATATTACCTCTGAAAAAAGCAACTGGGAGGAGCTCAGCTGTCAACAGAGAGGAGCAGAGTCTTTACAGAAACTCCCATGAGTTAAGACTTTCGTTCCAGTTTTATCTAAGTGCATATATGTTGTACTTGAGGAAAAGTAAAACAGTCGTTTGCAAAAGTCAACCTGTATCTAAATATTTTAACAAAAACAAAAACAGAATCCAGAGAATAATATGCATATGCACAAAAATACAGATAAAAATAAAAGAGAACTCAGAAGATAGAGTCTAAAACTTGTTAGGAAGGAAGCAAGTTGTATTCTTTTTAACCTTTTTTTTTTCGGTTTTAGTTGCTTATTTTGTTTTTAACAAAAATATCTTCCTTGAAAATATCTTAGAAATATGATTGGATTCTAGACTTCACAAAAAAACTGGTTCCTTTAAGAGCTCTAAAACATGTATGTTTTTAATGCAATACATGCAATAGCTTCTAGGCATGCAAATAAATCCATGGATAGAGGAAAAATGTCACGTTTAACATAAGAAAATCGATTTTTTCCCAAGTACTCTGAAGAATTTAAGCAAAATATTTGGTAGTGTTGGCAAAACCTGTATTGGATGAATCATCACATTGGTGAATAGTCTTATTATGACAATTCATGTAAAACTTCCATGAAAATTATTGAATGAACATCATAATCATTTTTATATCTACATATTTAAATTGTTACATAAAGTATTATGTAAGTTTCATTAGTTCAACATATATATTGAGACTTTTTCTGTAGGGAAGGCATCATGTCCGACACTGACTGCTTAGGGCAGAGGATAAAAAGATTAATATAGCAAAGCAGATAACGTGGCTAAAAATCTTGTGTGTATCTGATTTCGTGTATGTAGGAGTTCATGTGTGTGTAAAGATGGGACAAAAAATACTCTTTAAAAGTCCAGAAAGATGATATGAGCATTTGTGCAAAGAAATGTAGAAACTAGACTTCAGTACACATGTAGATGGAGACGTTCTCTCTAGCGTTTCCCTCTATCATTGTTTCTTTAAAAGGACAAGAAATACATTATTACATTTAGTCCTTCCTCCAATCTTCAAATTTATGGTGTACTGGTGGGCAAAATTTTCTTAATCTGCAAGCATCTGCTAAAGTTTAGATAATTACAACAAATTATTTTAGGTGAAGAGGAATAAAATGACTTAATTAAAAGAGCAGAAAATCATGGTCCTTCATTTTTAATAGCTTAAACTAGATAGATCTCATGAATGCATTTTCTCCTCTCTTTCTTATGGGCAGATCAAACATTAAAGTATTAGGTTGCTTATAGTTTTTATAAAACACAAAAGTTTTTATCAGTTTAATGCATAGTAATGCAACTAGGTCGAGGGACAGGACATGGATTGAGTTAATAGAAGACATTTGATAGGAGGTACTGATTATTTTAATTATTTAATGTAAAACATACCTATTAGTCTTTTGTTACCAGTATTTGATAAGACATGAAAATTGTCACCTTTAAATATCTTTTCTGGGCTGGGGATGTGGCTCAAGCGGTAATTCGCTCGCCTGGCATGCGTGGGGCACTGGGTTCAATCCTCAGCACTATATAAAAATAAAATAAAGATGTTGTGTGCACTGAAACCTAAAAAATAAATATTAAAAAATTCTCTCTCTTTCTCTCTCTCTCTCTCTAAAAATAAATAAATAAATATCATTTATATTTTAAATATTAAGTGTAGCATCTGAAAAGACATTAACTATTTATCATGGTTATGGATTTGGATGAATAGCTATCTTCAAGATATTTTGTCACAGTGATACACAGAAGTTATGATTGCCAACATCATTGACATAATCATAGGCCCCTTTGCTACCCTGTATTGTATTAATTATGTAGAAATACATCAGCAGTGATCACTCTCCTTGTCGTTAGAGTCACTCACAATCTGGACTACATTTCAAAGAGGTCAGCCAAGGTCTGGGATATAAATTGTACTTTTATAATTAAGAGAAAGAGAGGCAGAAACGGGGACAGGGCACACAAACAAAGAAAACAGAGCAGCCATGAACAGCCAGCACCAAATGCTTTTTCTGGGAGGCCTAATTAGAGATGTTGCAACTCTGCATCACAGTCTTCCAGAGGTAGTGTGTTTATTTCACATCACACCTTTACGCACCTCTGCTCAGTGCATCTTCAGCCTGTGATGTTCCTGTGTTCCTTCTCTGTCTCCTCTCTTGGGGTTAACCACCATTCAAGACCCTTTTCAACTCCTTCACGGTCTAATTCCAGCTTTGAGTGGTGTGGGCTCTTTAAAATGCATGTCTTAATCCCCTTACTAACTCTCTGCCAACAGTATGTGACCTTATTACAAACCCTTTTATTGTTTTTCTGATCTATGATGGAAGTTTTCTGCTATATCTTAATCTCTCCAGGGTCTTATCTTCCAATCAGACCAGTGGTTCTCTCAGTGTACCAACCCATAGGGGACACTTGGAAATTATTACAATGATGGAGGCCTTCAATAGTATTTACAAGACAGAGAATGACAATGACCTATAATGTGCCTTCACAATGGAGAAGTATTTGATGTCTGGGGTAAATAGCAGCTCTTCCAGATATAATAAAGTTTATAAAACATCCATTTATAATTATCTAAGTCTAGATCTTCATTCTGTTTTACAGATGTATAAAGACATTTTAAGCAGTTTAAACAAACTGAATTATAGGAGCCCTGAATTATATATTACAATATATTTTGCTTACTTTAAACATCCATTAACAATCATTCATCCATTTGTATAGTATAGCATTAACAGAATGGCTTCAGAGCTACCAAGTTAGCTCATCAGTTTCTATTTGCATCCATAGATCAAACATCTGACAATTTTTTCATGTCTTTTGGTAGTTGTAGGTGAATATTTAGAAACTACAATTAAAATTGTTTAAGTTACTTTTATTTCTGTTACACTTAGGGCATGACATTTGTTTTAAAATGTCATGTTTCAAATATATATGTAGATTAAATTATATTATCAGTAGGCTCCACTGTACCACTATTTAATAAGAGGTCATGAGAAAATATTTTTTTAAAACCAATAAGGGGCATTATAGTCTGAGAGTTGAAAACTATTGAATGAATTACATGCGTTCATGGGAAAGAAAGACTGAAAAGGAAGGAAAAATGAAGTGAAAAATTCGAATTTATTGAGTATTTCTGTTTTGCTAGAAATAGTGTTTGAGATTCTAACATATATTGAATACTCTGCAGGACTAGCCCAGTGATTAACACAATCACTAAATAATGAAAGAAGAAATATTTCAAGAGTGTAAAACAT